GCCCCGCCCTCTCTCTCTGTCTCCTTCTCTCTATCTCTCGTTCTCTCTCTCGCTCTCTTTCTCTCTCTCTCTCTCTCTCTTTCTCTCTCTCTCCCTCCCTCCCCCTCTCTCTCTTCATTTCCCTTTTCCGACATCGACAAATGACAAATGTTTTGTGTGAAGAGTCAGGTAGCGGAGCGGTTTGTTTGTGCAGTGTCCCTTGCTGCTGTGTCTCGAACATATTTTTTCTTTGCTCAGTGGATACAACGCTAAACTGTCTTAGTCTTTGAAGACTAAACTCGTGGCATTTCACATTTTTGTACCCCATTTTCTTTAACACCTGTCCAGGTGTTGTACGTCTGTCTCCTTTATACTCTTCCCCATCTCTCTCTCTCTCTCTCTCTCTCTCTCTCTCTCTCTCTCTCTCTTTTCCGTTAAAAAAACTCCCCATTTTCGAGCCAGACTGGCATAACTGAACGTGATGGAAGATGATATACATGTGTTTAGTTCTTTTTTTCATTGGGCAGAAAACGGAAGGCTCTTAATTTTAATTTTGTTGGTGATTGGCGGGTGCTCAGGTGTGGTTTGCCCCTTCTTCCCCATCAAGCATCGACCGCCCTTATCTATTTTTCTTGGTACGTTGCTTTCTAGTGACACCGTTTATCATATAGCCTACTTTTGTTGCACAATGCCGTGAAACTCTTTCTAAAACTTTTTTAAAAAATCAATTTTCAAATTTCTCCTCTCTTAGCAACTATGTGGGAGCAGTAGTGACACTAAAGGGTTTCAACATTCGTCTAGGCTCATAGGTAACCCAATAAATTTTCTTACTCACTCTGCAGATGCAGAGAAAAAGATTAATTGATTAGATTTCTGTACCGAAGTACTCCCAGCTATCACGGCTTTTGGACTACAGTTACTGCTGCAGCTTATTATGATAAATGATGCCATATTTTGACTGAGAAGTTGGATAATGTGGCTTATCTCGCTGCTTGTATATGTTTGCAGTTATTTTTCTTTCTTTCTCTTTTTTTTTTGGGGGGGGGGTGACAGTCTTGCTGTTTTGCTTCAAAAAATTATTATGATTGTTATCGTGCGCATAATATGGTAAATGGCAACACCCATCAACAACAAAAATTATGAGTAATAATAAGTGCAAGGACCAACGTGTAGACTTGAACTGTTTCGATTTGCAGGCGCACCATTAGCTCAGTCAGTCAGGTTTCTTGCTGGGCTATAGTGCGGATGACCGTGGTTGGAATCCACAAACGGGGCGTTTTTGAGCTTGAGCTGTGTGGGAAGTTCTCAAGGCTGTCCTCCTTCTTGGCTCGGTCATCTCGGAGACGGACGTCAAATTTCGGAGGTCTAAGCTGCTAATTAACATCACGGTGGTGTTGAGAGGAACGTGAGACGGGCGTCTAGGATGTAGCGTCCAGGCACCTCGATGTCGTACGAAGAGGGCCGGGGTCCGATTCCCATGGAGAGAGAAACGTCATCGAGTATATCGGTCTTTGTACTGGGACGTATCGCTCTCACCCAGGATTGGCATTGACATGCAGGACATTTTTGTTTGTTTGCTTTGTTTTGTTTGGGTTTGTTTTGTTGGGAGGGGTGGGGGTTGTTCGAGGAACGTAACATTCATACCGCACACTAACATAACCGAATGACACAAGTTAGAGGGTGGTTGGCCGGTGCTCTGGTGTGGTTTGCTCCTTCTTTCCTGTCAAACATCTATCGTCCTGATCTCTCCTCCTTATTTATGTTTGTTACTCTCTTGTAACACGTTCACTCTTACTAAAACTTTAAAAAATACCGTACATAACCGAATAGCACAAGTTAAAAGTGCCTCCTTGTCGTATCGGGTACGTTCTTTTCTGCCTTTTTCGTATCAAACGCGCGTGCGTGTGACAGACACACAGTGAGGCACATAAAACGCCTCCATCTGTGGCGGCTGCTTGTGCTCTTCCCTCCTGTTGCTGCCACTCTGCCACTGTCAACCTCTACCTTCGTCTCTCCACTGCGCTCTCCGCCGATCTCGCATCTCGCCTACTCGCCTGGCGGGTTGGTTGTTCTGGCACCGTGTACATTCGACCTTCCGGCGTGACGACGACGCGCGACTCCCTCCTCCTGCTCCCTCCTCCTCCTCTCCGCCCGCCCCCTCCTTTTGTCCTATTCCTACTGTCCCTCCTCTTCCTCCTCCTGCTCCCTCCTCCTCCTCCACCTGCCCCTCCCTTTCTCCTATTCCTCCTGCTCCCTCCTCCTGCCCATCTTCCTCCTCCGCTCGCTCCCTCTCTTTCACCTATTCCTCCTGTACCTCCTCCTCTGCCCGCCCCTCTCTTTCTCCTATTCCTCCTCTTCCTCTTCATTCTCCTCCTCCTCCTGCTCCCTCCTCCTCCTGCTCCCTCCTCCTCCGCTCGCCCCTCCCTTTCTCCCATTCCTCCTGTCCCTCCTCCTCTTCCTCCTGCTCACTCCTCCTCTTCCACCCGCCCCCTCCCTTTCTCCTATTCCTCCTGTCCCTCCTCCTCCGCCTGCCCCCTCTCTTTCTCCTATCCCTCCTGTCCCTCCTCTTCCTCCTCATGCTCCCTCCTCCTCCACCCGCCCCCTCCCTTTCTCCTATCCCCCCTGTCCCTCCTCCTCCTCCCTGGCACCACCACCACCACCACGCCGTCCACGTCTCACCACGCACGGTGCACTCACGACGACGGTCTTCTTCTTCTTCTTCTTCCCCCTGTCTTCTAGTTCTCTCCACACCGCCGCACAGGCGATGTCGTCGTCGTGGTGCAAGTCTGCTCGTTTTTCCTGTCGATTCGTTCTTTCATAACCCTTTTTCTTTCTTTCGTAACCGTATCGTAATGGTTGGCCTGTGCGTCGTGTTGCACCACTCACTGTTCTTTTCGATTTGTGCAAAGTCATAATTTGTTTACTTTAAAAACAAATTAATCTTTTTTACTTCATTTTTGTTTGTTTTGGTTTTTGGTTTGTTTTACAAAGATATCTTTACTAGATATATAAGTCCCAAGTTAAGTTGTTGCACTGCGCTTCTAACCTGGTTCAAGTAAACGGTAGCGGCGGCAGAATCCTCGCGGGCTGAAGAACGTGGATGCGCTATGTGGTCAATGCTGGTGGTTTTGCCTTGGACGCTGTTTCAAAGCAGTTGTTTCAAAGCGGTAGTTAAGAGGTTTTTTCAAAGCTATTGTTTCAAAGCAGTTATTAAGAAGTCTTACGGGTTGTTGTTTTTTCTCTCTCCTGGATACGCTCATCTGATAAATCCAGCTGTTCTGTGACATTCTGTTGGCTTTTGTGGATATTTCAGTGCCTTTAAAGTGAATTTCATAACATTAGAACTCCGTTGCTTCGGTACAAAAAAAAAAGAAGCAATTTTAAAAGATACGGCGTTATGGGGAACGTTTCCTACATCAAAATTGTTTGTTGTGTTTTATTTATTTATTTATATATTTATTCATTCCTTTTCCCCCTTTATTTAATCTATTCCTTTATGTATTTATGTGTGTATATTATATATATATGAAGAGTGACCGAATCCTGTGGTTTATTATTGTCCGTGATATTTTGTTTTTCTTTTACCGCACGTTTACTATCTCTG